AGCCTGATCAAAAAATTCAAAAGCAAGCTTTTTCTCGTTTAAAACCGTACTTCTCTAGCAATTTCTTTTTTTTTTTTGACATTGTCAAAAAATTTTTGCTTTCCCCTACTACATAACTCAAAAACTTTTATCCACGTCACTCAGTAGAAAACAAATTTTAATTGCTATTTAGCGAAAATGAATTTAAAACTGTATGGCTGCCGTAACGTCGCAAATTGGTAACGTATCCCTGTGTATAAATTTTCCAAGAGCAGTTTTTAGGACCGTACAGAGAGATATTTTTTAGCCAAATTTTCTCGTCTAATTTATTACTCTAAATATTCTCCACCTGCAATCGGTCGAAGAAAAAGCACTGAACCCACTCAGGAGCCGGCTGCACTGCACTTAGACCGACCTGATTTATCAGGCGTACCGTAAGCCTCTTGAAAAAAAAAAAAACTTATGCGACTGTTAGTGTTCAAGCAGTCTGAATTGTTTGCCAGTCACAATATACTCTTACACAAAGGCTGAAAAAATACGCCTGCATGATGAGGGAACGGAAGAAACTATTCATCAGCTATCAATATAAAAAGCTGACCTATATTTAAACGCAGTTGCAGGCTTTCCAAAGTGACTCCATTCTGACACCTTTTTTCAATGCCAAGAAACAACGGAAACCAAGTTATCTACCTATATACGAGTATATGTGAAAAAGAATCTTCAAAAAAAAATTTTTCTACTTAGAAAAAATCTGCTTAATACCTCAGCTCATGCTACACAAGTTGTCAAACAGATATTGGCTTAAAGAGCAAAAGATGATTTCTCACAAAAAACCGAAATTTTACTCCATTTTTGTCCCATTTGTTCACTGTTTTTTCCGATGAGGAATTTCTGTCAGAATATACTAATCAAAACAGTGGCAGGTCCATTGTGGTCTAAATGAATTTCTGTTATAAGACAGCAGCCTCATAATACAATAAATTACTCGTATTAAAGGTTGTTCTTTTAATCCATAAGCTTGATGAAACTTGCTGCGTTTTCCACTAAAATCAATCGTCACCAGACGTTCAAATTCATCAAAAAAACAACAATTTCAAATATTTCGTCCTTAAAAATTAAGCCAACATTAGACCACCAATGCAGTTCAAATTATGCAGTGTCTTTTGGACCAGTAAAAACCTCAAAAAACTTAGTCTCCTCAGAATAACAGCCACCTCTCCTCTATGACTCACATGATTCGTAAAAGTACGAATGATTTAATAACCAAACGTGGCTTGATAATGTATAGGTAAGCCGTACAGTACTGCGAACGGTATGCATAGTTACTATGCAATAACGGTTTGAAAGTTCTTCGGTTAATTATTAACAAAAGAATCTCCAAACTGGTTTCCTAGAAGCGATAAATTAAGCTATAAATATTTCTTACTGTCTATGAAAAGCGCCATATTTCAATGATTTTACCAAGTTAGCCAGAGAAATGTCAACTTTATTACGTTTCAATTTATCTAATTTCAGAATTTACGATAACTCAAAAATATTTCTTCACTTCAATATAAGTTTAAAAGTCATGCTACAAAACACATTTCAGCAGTCATTAATTGACGAAAAAGAATTGAAGAAGTTATGTAACACTTAAGAAACAACTCTCTTCTTATTTCCTTTCTTGTTCTTCTATACGCATTACATATCTGGGCGTGTTCAAAGAAAAAAAAATTATAGATTTTGAGAACTACGATTTTTCAAAACATATATTAGTAAAAAGCCAGAGATCAGACAAAAGGCTGACTGACTAAACTTGACAAGCACAAACTGATATGATTACTGAATTAACCAATTCCATAAGTTAGCAGGAACACGAAGATGTCTACAAAATAAAGCAAAACCAGACAATTCCCTTTCTGGGGACCAAAAAATCGTAAAAGAGAAAAAAAAGGAAATTTTCTTGTCGACGACAAATCACACATCACGTGCTAATGTGAGCTATTTTGATGCTGGAGATCAAAATGTTACTGCAGTTGGCATTGTTCCTCCATACGCATCTAAGAAGTACTCACTGACTGTTCTGGCACAACTTCAATGACTTATTGTTAAATCTAAACAAAAAATTCCCTTCTTCGACCATCGTTTTTGCCGAATCCAAACCTTTCATTGTTGCATAACTGCGATGTTGGCGAACAGACGACCACAACGACGGCGACGACAACGACAACAACGACACCGACGAAAATTTGGCCGACCTTTGTCTTTCGACAAACATCGCGTAAATAGACGCCAGTTTTTCCCTGCCCGTTGATCGCTAAAAGCCACTTTCAACAAAAAATCTGTATCCTCCTAACTTAACGCACAACGTCGATGATTTTTTCATTGGAACTTCCGGTAGTTTGTTCTCCCACTTATCGCCTGTGAGAAGCGAATTTATTGAAACTCAGTGAACAGTTACAATTAGTTAATGGATAAAGATAGTTTCAGCCTTTTGCCTTCTGGTTAATAAATCTCCCGTTGTCTGCTGACGATATAAAACGAAAAAGAATGCATATACAATTTTTAAAAAAAAAAAAA